GGGACAGGGACGGATCAGTGTTCACCTCTCTGTCCCCACCGTGGCACAGAAATGCTCGCAGCACAGGTGTGAGCACATGCATGCCGCAGGAGGGTGGCTGGGCTGCAATGCCATCCTCCCGTGAGCTCCCCTGGCACCTCTACTCTGCAGCAACCAGGCCAGGCAGCACTCTCCTGCCCGCTCCCAGTTACAGCCCTGCACCTCTAGAGCCACATCCCAGTCAGACCAGTTGCCTCTGGCTCTGCTTTCCACTGGCCAGGCACAGCAGAGAGGAAAACGCCCATCCTGAACATATTTCAGTGCTCTCCAAGATCACGAGCAGTGGCAGCACTGCCTGGCAGGGAGTGAGGAGGGACATGCACACTGTAACAGCTCCTTTTAGATCCTTCTCAGCAAACTCCCAGGAAAGGCAGGAGGGAAACATGACTGAACACAAGCGAGCTGTGTCCCAGAGCAGCCAAGTTGTGCCTTCCTCAACCTGAACACTGGAGCGAGAGGCCACTGTGACACTGCTCTACACAACCATAAGACACCCAGTGCCACAAAATCCCCTTATTTATCAAAAACCAAACCTCAAACACCCTTACACCACCCCAAATGCTCCAAGTAACAATCACTCCTATCTCCCAGCAACATCCCAGCTCCTGACACAAGGGGACAGGGTATCACAGACCATGCTTTCCCCCACAAAATCCCAATCCTGTTTTTAGGGTCTCTCTTGTCCTGCAAGTTTGGGTGGCTGGCAGGGCCCAGCCCCACTCTCACCTGTCCTCTGGGTGCCAGTCGCAGCAGAAGACGGGCCCGTTGTGGGCTGTGAACATCCTCTCGTAGCGGTCGGGCCGGCGGATGTCCCACAGCTGCACGTTGCCGTTCTCGAAGGTGGCGGCGAAGGTGAAATAGTCCCGGATGCTGAACTGGACATCACGCACACTCTCTGACTGCCCTGGGAGGGGACACAAGTTAGGAGCTCCAGCAATGCTAAAAATCCCACTGGAAGAGCTGTGGCACAGAGAGAAGGTAGCAGGGAGTGCTGTGACTGTCTTCCATCTCACACACAGACCCAGCTAGTACTGAGAGGCAAGGAAAGGCACCAAAATGCCTCTCAGCTCCTTCTTTCCCTGCCCTGGGCATCACCCCCTGAGCAAACCCTCCTCCTGGGCACAGGGAAGGACAAAGCCCCTCACCCCTGCCTCTCCTAAGGGTGAAGGGACAAGCAATGAAAGGACAAAGCTCCCAAAGTATGCTTCCCCACAGAGAAACAGGACAAGAGCCACGTTAGTACCAGAGAAGGTGCTGACAGAGTCCTTCTTGCGCAGGTCGAAGCACTTCATGTAGCCGTCCTGGGAGCCGCTGAGCAGCATGTACACCTCGGTGGGGTGGAAGCACACCTTGTTGACAGTGCGCTTGTGCTCCGTGAACAGCTGGTCCTGCTTGTTGCGGGACGGCTTGCCCAGGTTCCAGGTGACCACCACGCCGTTGGTGGCGGCGGTGGCCAGCAGGTTCTCGTCCATCTGGTGCCACACCACGTCGGCACAGCTGAAGTTCAGGGAGGGTTTGCGGCCCACGCGGAGGTTCAGCTTCTCCACAAACTGCTCCTCCTCGATGGAGTAGATCTTGAAGATGTTGCGGCCGGCCACCACCACCTGGGCGGCGTCCCGGCACACGCTGATGGCGTTGGCAGGGGCGTCCAGGTGGCAGAACATGGTGCGGCCGGTCAGCGCGTTGCCCCCCAGGGCAGTGGTGACCCTGGCCATCTTCTCCATGGCTGTCCTCGGGGTGCTGTCCCCTCTCCAGCAGGCTGCCTGCACACCCACACGGCCAGCCTGCTCCAGCTCAGCCAGAGCTGGGCAGGGACAGGCTGGGCTCCTGCCGGGCCCTGGTGGCTCCGACCGCGGCTTTGTGCAGCTGCATCAATGGGGTGTGGATGTGAGAGGCCACAGAGCTGCCTGTGGGAGGGAGATACGGCCCCACTCCGGGTTCTCCTCCTGCCACCCTCTGTGGCTCCCTCTCGGAGAGTTCCTGAAAACCTTCTCTGGGTTCCTTCTTCCCTCCTTGGCCACACCCTTTTGTTTCACTGTTGCTGACAATATAGGTCAAGTACAGCACTGTGGCTGAAGTGAGCAGCGTCCGCAGCACGAGGTGGGGTGAAGTGAGACCACGGTCACCTCCGAGGGGCACTCGGAGCCCCAGAGCCTGCAAGAACCAAGGGATGACCGTCCTTCCCTAGCAGAGTGGGGGCAGCAGTTACTCCAGGCTTCTGGAGGGATCACGGGCTGTGCCCTCCAGAGCCAGGCCGAGCTCCTGCCACAGCACTGCCCTCCCTTGCCAGGTCCCACAGACCCCTCACACCGCACATTCCCACCCCCTCAGGGCCCCTTCCCACCTTGAGCGCACCCTGAGGGGCCCGTCCTACTCCTGAGCCAGCCCAGCGCCTCATATCCCACACTCCCACCCCTCAGGGCTCTCCTGACCCACAGCCCCCCAGGACCCCTCAGACCCCTCACCTCCCGCTCTGCAGGGCCCGCTCCTGACCCAGAGCCCCTCCAGGGCCGCCTCCAGCCCTTCAGAGCCCACTCAGGGTTCCCTCAGAGCCTCTCCCGCCCTATATCCTCCTCAGGGCCCCTTCCCGCCCCTCAGAGCCGCCGGCGCCTCCTCACAACCCCCTCCCGCCACACAGAGTCCCCTGCCGCTGCCCCCTCCGTGCGCGGCCCCCGTGCCGCTCCCAGAGCCGTACCCGGTGCTGAGGCCGTACCCGGTGCCGGTTCCCCGCCGGCCGCTCGGGCCGAGCAGGCCCCGCCGCCGCCGCCCTCCCGCCAGGCCCCGCCCGTTTCCGCCGATGGACCCGCCCCTGCCGCCAGGCCCCGCCCCTTTCCCGGTGCGGAGCCCGCCCCGGCCCCCGCCGCCCGGGCCCGCCCCCTGCTCCTGACCACGCCCCCTCCGTCGTGATCGCCGTTCAGCCCCGCCCCTCTGGGACACGACCGCGCCTGCTCCCGCCCGCCGGCCCGGGCCCCGCCCCCTCCGGCACCGGAGCCCATCAGGCCCCGCCCCCGGTGCCGCCCGAGAGGCCCCGCCCAGAGGCGAGGCCCCGCCCCCCGCGCGCCCCACACCGGGGATCGGGGGGACAGGGGGGCACCGAGCCCGGGAATCGGGGGGCAGGGCGGGCACGGAGCCCGGGGATCGGGGGGACAGGGGGACACCGAGCCCGGGGATCGGGGGACAGGGGGGCACGGAGCCCGGGGATCGGGGGGACAGGGGGGCACGG